AGGGTCCTGGGATTAAGTCCCACATCGGGCTCCCTGTTCAGCTGGGAGCCTGCATGACTCCCCCCACCCCCATCCTCCTGCTTGCACTCCCTTGGAAAAATAAGGAAATAAAATCTTCTAAAAAATTATTTTTTTAAAAAAGATCTGATATAATCTTGGTTTAAGACTATAGGTCTCCACTAAGTTTTCCATCTTTTTTCAAGCCTGCACTGATTTTCTCTTCTCTGAATAGTAATCTACAGTAAACAGTAGATAACAATGAAAATGCATTTATTATACTAATTAATATATGTTCAATATATGATTTATGTGCAATAGTTTTGTGTTAAAAAGAAGCATAGTAAGATCTTTGAGGGTCAGAGACCGTGTTTTGTATGCCCTGTGTTTGTGTTTATCCTCCAGAAACCATTACAGCGTTGGATACAAGCCGCTTAGAAACTATTCGTTGATTGAGTCAGTGACTGAAATCTGAATTTTTGTGAATACTCTATTTACTTGTATAACTTCCACTTTGCCCCCTTATTTTCACGAGCATTTGGGTCCCAGACCTCTACCGCCTTCAGGAATCACCCTCTGGGGAGTCTCTGATTTACTAAACAACAGTGACATTAATAGAGCACCACAGCAACCAGTGGCAATGTTAATTAGAACTGAGATCTCCTGCCACATTCCTTCGCTTTACTTCAGCAATTCCTCCATTCCTCAAAAGAGCTGTTAAGAGCAGCCATTCCAAGTGGCTAAACTACTTTTGGTAAAGCAATAGTCTGTGACTGATAGCAGTTCATGAGTGTGTGTGTGTGTGTGTGTGTGTTTGCTTGTGTAATTGAGAGAGAGAGAGAAACCAGAAGCAGAAAGTTGGCAGACCAGGGTATTGATAGATAGGGGGGTATGGATAGGCGTAACAGGTGAAACCTTCTTTCCTCTGTAGTGTTAAGTGTGGACCTGAGTACCTCTGCTATTTAGGGAGGAGGATTATTGGTTGCAGTTCTAGTGTTTCTGGTAGGGGACAATAACAAACAGGAAGTGTGAAGAAAAGGAGAAGAGTAAATACTGATTTCCATTCCAAAGCAGCAAGTCCAAAATGCGCCCTTTGCTAGTTACTTGCTTATTGTGGACAAAGACCATCTCACTGATGAGTATCCTTTAGCTAGGGCATCTTTTGGTAAAAAGACCAAAGGTGAGTAAACTTCAGACTTTCTCACTTTATATATCTTTTTGCTAGTGAAGCTATGACATTTTCTAGTATAGAATTGGCATATTTTAGGTGCTTTCTTTCTAGAAACATTAAAGCTACTAACATAACAAACTTCTTTTTCCTTTTCTTCTTTCCCTCAAAAGAGGTACAATGGTAGATTCAGTAGATAAAATTGCAGTGACATATTTGGGAATGATTGACATCGAAAAGTTTAATTATAATGCTCTTTTGAGTGTGTGTGTATGTGTGTGTGTGTGTGTGTGTAAGAGAGAGAGAAAGAGCATGAACTGGGAAGGGAGGAAGGGGCAGCAGGAGAAGGAGAGAGAATCTTAAGCAGGCTCCATGCCCAGCACAGAGCCCAATGTGGGGTTCAATCCGACAACCCCAAGATCATGATCTGAGCTGAAATCAAGAGTCAGACACTTAACGGACTGAGCCACCCAGATGCCCCTTGACTGTTCATCTTGATAGTTTCTCTGGCACATAAGAAACCCTAACTGACTTTGTTATATCTGGGATTCCACATTTTCCCCTGTATTTCGAGTTTCTTTTAATATAATAGAGACACAAAAAAATCTTTATCAAAAATGTACCAGAAATCTCTTGTTCTTCCACCTTTTTCTACATCTTTCATCATCTAAGATGGAGTGTGAGGGAATGAAAATATTTATGTTGTTTCTTCTGGTCAGTAGACAATTTACTGCCCTACAAACACAGCTGAAAGACCCAGGAAAGCAGATTTTAGATGTCATAATGCAAAAGAGATGCTGCGGGAGTTTGCAGTGGAAGAAAGTGAAAATATGTTATTAATTCTGTTTACACTCTAAATTTCTTGGAAGAGTCACATCAGTGTCAAAAAACATTACAATTTGCCCATTTTTATGCACCTTTACAAATGTTCAGTAAAAGTTGAATTGTGGACCATCTAATTGTTTAATTTTTATTTATTTCACATGTTCTGCCCACACCTTCAAATGTTTGGGTTCCCCAGGATCTAATCTCCACTTCCTTCTCCTCTCAGTTTCCTGTTCTTTTACTTAAGAGTCAGCCAGTGTTAGGGTTCTAACCACCTCCAAAGGTCTCTAGCCTCAGTCAGTAATATTGCTAAATCTCTTTACCTACACTCTTCTAATTCCAAGTGTCTACTAGATTCTTAATTAGATGTCTGAGAGCACTTCCAACCTAACACAGTCAAAAATTGAGTCCTGACTTTCCCACCTAACCCATGGTACACAGTTCATCTCGACAACTTTTATTTTAGTTAATGGCCTCCCAGGGACCCCTTCTTGAACCTTGGAGCGATTGTGAATTGTTCATGATAAAAACTGAACTGTATTATACCTATCTTAAAAATATTTAAGTGACTACAAAACATCCATCTCATAATGTTGGAAACCTAACCATGATGTGGCAGATACTGTCCATTGCTTATGTAATGCCATCTTCCCTTTCTCCCTGAGATTACAGACTGTTGCTTTCATTTCCCAGTAGAAGCAGAAGCCCTTTGATATAAGAGAAAGAAGTGTCCTCTAAAAACTCATGGAAATCCTATTCCTCTTCACTGAGTGATGGGTCTGGAGGACATATTTCCTAGTTTAGACTGACTAGATGAAAGGGACTCTTTGCTGAGGCATAATGCTCTGAAATGTCAGCTCATGATCATAAAAAAAAATCATCAAAGGTAGAAGAAGGGAAAAATTAAAAAAACAAACAAAACAAACAGGGGCACCTGGGTGGCTCAGTGGGTTAAAGACTCTGCCTTCGGCTTGGGTCATGATCCCAAGGTCCTGGGATCGAGCCCTGCATTGGGCTCTCTGCTCAGCGGGGAGCCTGCTTCCACTTCTCTCTCTCTGCCTGCCTCCCTGCCTACTTGTGATCTCTGTCTGTCGAATAAATAAATAAAATCTTTAAAACAAACAAACAAAAACAAAAAACAAAAAGCCAGAAAGTCCCTTTGTCCTCAAGGACATCATTCAACAGTTGCAAAATACCTGGAACTGCCTCCCTCCAGATCAAGTGCTAGGGGAGTTAACAGAAACCGTTATTACTTAAGCCACTGCTAATTGGCATTTCGTTGCTGAAAGCATTTCAGCATTCTTGCTTTTTGGTACCAAGCTACTCTGCAATTTCTTCAGTCAGTTTTCCCCCACCTTCCACTCCAAACAAACTATTATTCTCCATCTCATAGAATTTTAGGTGTCCATTCAGAAGGCAGACCTCGTCTGCATCATTCTCCTGGGGAGCTGCTCCCGAGGTTTCAAGCTTTAGCTCAAATGTTACATCCTCAAGCAGTTATTACTTTACCCACCCAAACCCCTTGATGGTTCTTGCCAAAATCATATACTCCCAGGAAACATTAAGTGATTTCCCCTTTGTTTCACATTTGTGTTTCATTTGAGTTCGAACACCTGAATGCAAGGATGTCTTATTCAACACTGTGATCTCAGACACTAGAACAGTGGCTATTATCTAATAGAAATTCAGGTAATGCTTTTTGGTTTTGTATCTCTAGTCATAATAGGAATACATATTATTCATATTTTTGATCAAACTGGTACAAATTTAAATAATTAAAAAATACTACTAATAAGCCCAAGATTAATCCTAAGTCCCAACTGAATTGTGAGGTCAACCTTCTCAGGGAGAGATGCTTTTTTCTACAAAATATAATTTGTTCCTATGTTTCTTTTCCTTTTTGACAAAATGCACATATCTTCTCATATACCTATAGCTATTTATACTTCACTAACAAAAATAAATTTTTACTTTCTGCTAAATTCACTTGTCTCTTCTCCAAGATTTTTATGGCTCCATCACGAAATAAGTTACATTTTAAGTCTGGGAAAGATACTGCTCTGTCTCTGCCCGGGTCCTATTCTAGAAACATCCCTTCCCAAATACAGAGATCATTCATCCTGTTCCAATTTTAACTTGTGCATAACTGCCAGAGAGTCCACAGGCTAAATGCATGTAAATTGCTTTCCAAGACGAGTATCAGAGTTGAAAAGAACATTAAAGGATTGGTCTTTCCTTTAGAACCCTAACATTCTTAAGGGATAGAAACCTGAAAACTATAGGAGGTCACTTGATTATTTGTTTTTTGGTTTTTTTTTTTTTTCCTTCAATTGGCAGCTCTCTGTGAGTCCATTATGTAGACTAATCACTTCAAAGCAAACATATGCTGCTTTTAAATATTTGATGCTTATATAGATATTTATCTATTAACAATGCAAAATTGCATTACGGATTTTATTTTCAACTGGTAAAATCTAAAGGTGTATTTGATTAAAACGTTCTAACTCTTCTGACTTAGAGCTGGAAACTTAGCAGCGTGCCCACGGTCATCAGTCCGTGATCATCAGATCATCAGTCTACATGCTTCATGATATCTAATCTCTCCACTGCCTTCAGACGGTTTTTGTTACCTATGTATCCTCACTTCCATTTTCTGTTCGTTTTGTCCCAGTTGCCTAAAATCATCCCTGAAGCGCAGGGAACATAAATTCTAAATCACTTAAACTTTATAAATTGAAAGTGTTTTCAATGAGGCCTCTAGATGCTTTAGACGAAATTTAGTACAAGATGTTCTGAGCTGTTAGAGCTGCTTCACCGTACAGCTCCAAGAAGCACTGTTCACTTCTCTACCGTCCATGTGGATAATGCTCCCTGGAGTGGTATAACACATTGTCTCATCCCTTGGTGTGAAGGGCTGCTTATATACTGTCTCTATGAATAGGGACAGCCATGTCTGTGGTTATGGTCCTCTAAGTGATAATGGCAACTGAAAGACCATTATCTCTCTTACCTGAGCTGTGGTTTCCTGCTAACAAAGTGGGGCTCACAGAACATCTTCCCAGCCTACTGGTAACCACGGGCGGTCCTGGTGTTCCATCCCATTCCTGAGCTTTGACAGGCTCTCTGGATGATGCCCCGTGATGACCTCTCTCTTTGCTGTCCAACTTTGGTAATGGCTCCGTGCTGTGGCTTCGGACTTTCAGTTCCTCTGTCGATTCTGTGTATTAACCAGAATTACATTCTGTTAAACCAAAGTTGAATCCTTCCCAGATTCCTTTAAAACATTAAAGAGAGATTTTCTCAAATGTTTTCAATATATTTCGTGGTGAGGGGGGACATGGGTGCTCAGTTGTTAAGCATCTGCCTTTGGCTCAGATCACAGTCCCAAGATCCTGAGATCAAGCCCTGCATTGGGCTCCCGGCTCAGTGGGAAGGAAGCATGCTTCTACCATTCCCTCTGCCTGTGTTCCCTCTCTTGCTGTCTCTTCCCCTGTCAAATAAATAAAAACAATGTGTATGTGTGTGTGTGTGTGTGTGTGTGTATATATATATATTTTTTTTTTTTTTTTGTCAGCTTGGGAGTGTGTTGGAGTTTTTGGAGTTTTTGTCAACTTGGGAGTGTGTTGGAGATTACAACATTTAAATATAACAGGTGTGCAAGTTAATATCATTGGGAAGTAGTTTTCTCATTGGAAGAAGAGAACCTCAATGAGTCTTCAGTCTTCTAGTAACTCTGGTGCTCAACTTCAAGGAAACTTCTTAAAGAGCATGTTAGACTCACTGTCTTTACGGTCTCATCTACCATTCATCCTGCCACCCATTCTGAATTCATGAATTCAGCCCACCACTCTGCTAAAACTGTTTTTGCTAAGCTCACCTACTGCCTTCTAATTGACAAATTTAAAAAACATTTTTTAAGATATTTGACAACTCTTTGATTATTCTCATTTATAACTTCAATTCTCTTGGCTTCAATAATGGCCCATCTTCCAGGGTTGTGTTCTACATCCAACACTACTTTCTTGCCATTCCTATGTTCCTTCCTCCATGCATCCCTTATGTGCCATCCCCAAGATGGAAGCTTAGCCATCATTCTTCTCATTCTATATACAGTCTTCCTGTGATTTTTACCTTCCTGGATTGTTAGTGATTTCTAAATAGTTTATCACAATCCTGAATCATTATCCTTAGCTTTAACTCATTTATCCAATGGCCTGCTGGGTGAGTACATCTGGATGTCCCATGGATAACACAAATTTAAAACATTTCAGATCTTGGACTGATACCACTTCTCCCTAAACCAGCAGTTCCTCCTGTCCTGTCTAGCCAATCACCCAAGCTAGATGCTTGTCTTTCCTTTTCTTTAACTGTTACTTCTCAAATCTATCAGTCAGAAGAGTCTACAGATTTTATTTGTGAATATCTCGCTTTCCCTTCTGTTGTACTTTGTATCACATCTACCTCAATTAGTTTGGTTCTAACTCTAATCATTGCCCTTGAATTATTGAAATTTGTCTCCTATTCTCTATCCTTGTTTCTCTGAAGTATGAGCTCCATATACTGTCAAAATGATCTGTTTGAAATGCAAATCTAACCAAGTGTATTTTTCAGCGAATGATTGCAATAGCCATTCTGTTACACATATACAGAAGTGCTTAAAAACACATGTAGTAAAGATGGTTTATGAGTGATCACCGCTTGCTGTTCTAAACAGTGTTATCTCAGGGAATGGATGTGATAGCCACTCTCTAAGGCACATAGAGAAGTGTTTAAAAACAAAAACAAACAAAAAATGCAAACCTGTTTGCAATGTAGCCTTGACTAAAATCCTTCCAGAAGCCTCCTTTTACCCACAGAATTACGTCTAATCTCCTTATTATGACCCACAAGATTCCCACTGTCATTCTTCCTTTCCTCTCCAACTGCATCATTTTCCACATAAACACTGTGCTCAAGGAACACTACCAAATTGGTTGGACCTTCTTCCTCCCCACTCCACTTATAACTCAAACAAGGCTGTTTTTGTGCTACTGTCTTCTACTTCATCTGCTTTGAAGATCTTTGTATCTTGTCTTTGTTCCTCCTGGAAGGCTTCTCAGTCATGGTCACTCAATTTAAGTATCCTGCACCCATATCCCCACCCCATGCTAGGATTTCCTCATCTCTGCATTCCATGTATCTACTCTTCCCAAAAGGTCCTGGGTTCTTGGAAGCAGGGGCTAAGATTTGTTTTGTTTCATAAGTGTCTTTAGCACCTTGCATACTGCTCAATAGGTATTTATTAATTTATTTATTTAGTAGTTCTCTCAACTCCTCAGGCATCTTTCTGGTGTGTTGGGAAGTACAATGTTCCTAATGGAACAAGAGAATGAAGCGAGTGTTGTAAATGTATTAAAGTGACACAAAGCTAATAGTATTTTCAAAAATCTGATTATCTAACAATCACAAGTTGTAAAATTCACCAGGTTGAAAGTTTCATTCAAATGAGGATTCGTTGGGAAAGACTGCAGTGGGAAAAAAAAAAAAATATATATATATATATCACAGAAATGGTTCAGAGAATGTGTATTTTGCTTTCTTTTTGTTTTGGTTCAAACACTCCATGACTTGTAGCAGTGTGAGAACACAAATGTCCCACTTTGGTTCCCCATTGCCTGAATCTATGATGCAGAGACAGACATAGTTTGTAATATAGTCAGAAACCCTAGGTGAGGTCATCTGAGTGGCCTAGCTCTGCAGCTCTGGCATGGTCATGGGCCAATAACCCACATCACTGAGCACTGGGTTCTCCTCTCAGAGCTTCATTTTTCTTAATTACAAAATAGAGATAAAACCAGCCCAGTCTAACCTCTCCAATTTAATTGGAAGGATCTAATGATACTCTACATTTTAAAAAATATTTTTAAGATTTTATTTATTTGTTGACAGAAAGAGAGAGAGAAACAGTAAGAGAGGGAACACAAGCAGAGAGAGAGGGAGAGGGAAAAGCAGACCCCTCACTGAGCAGGGAACCTGACACAGGGCTTGATCCCAGGACCCTGGGATCATGACCTGAGCCAAAGGCAGACACTTAATGACTGAACCACCCAGGTGCCCCATTTTAATATATTTTTAAAACTACGTAGTGCTACACATGCAAAAGATACTATTAATTTAAATAAAGTCTAGCCATTTGTTCTTTATGAATTTATTTAATCTTTCTACATCTGGACTAGATAATCACTGAGAAATTGAAAACACAAATGGAAAATTGCCAGACCACATATGAAAACAGAACTCCAACCCATTATCTATATGGGTAATGAGCCCAGAAATCCAGTCTACTTTCCCTGAGTCAGACTTATAGGAAGTCAGACTACTTACTATCTCTAACAAACAATCCAGGCAGCCAAACAATAATCCGTGTGACAGTTGGCCCAAAACAGCTAGGATTTACTTAATAACTGATAGCTTCCCTAATTTTTGCTCCTGCTTCCAATATGGGACCACGGGAGAAAATCAAATCTGCATTCCCATCCAATCACATAGGATGCCCCCCTGGTTGGCCTTGCTTGCAGCTTCCCATGCCAACAGTCTCCATTTGGGTCCTATGTGAAGTCTAGCCCATTTCCCAGCAAGAATTTCTTACTTTTCTCCCTGCCTTCAAATCTCCACAGTTATAAGTGATGGAGGCTCACTGCCTTAGTATAGCAAGCTCTGAATAAATAGCCATTGCCTGTTCACATTTGTTTGCTCTTCATTTCTATGCACATTGCTATAGTTCCTTCCAGCTCCAAAAAGCTATACAGTTGTGTAAACACGTCATGAATATTATTTTATGAGATAAAACTTAAACCAAGAGGGTGGTCTTATAATAACAACCTCAGAAAGACTCCTGCCTTTAAATGGGCCTCCTATAAGCCTGAATCCCAGTTACACTAAAATGGAATATAGGAAGTAAAAATATTTAAAAAGTGATACATTCTTGCATAATAATTACAACAAGACAATTTAACTAACACTTGCTTTTCAGTGCCCTGAGTCAAATGGAACAAAACCAGTATCAGAAAAGAACATCATAGACTATTTCCAAGCTGTTTATTCACAGTTTCAAGGAAAATGTAACTGTGGCTTCCAAATGTCACAGCCTCAAAGCCTAATGACCCATCTGTTTCACTTTACCTTCTCTTCCAGATTTCAAACAAAACATTGAGATGCTTGCTTTCATTATCAACTTCTGTATTTTTGTCCACTACCAATATTAAGCATTTACTATCTCTCTCTCTCACAGACAAGCACAGACGCGCACACTCACAGTCCTCTCCCACTGGGACGGAAACTAACCAAACTAAAAAATGCTTATACCTAACATTGGATCCAATCTCTTTCCTGTGGCTTTGGGTAACATTTTAAATATGAAAGGCTGAGGATGTGTGTCAGAGCACCTCCACTAGCATTAGTTTCTTTGTTCTTATTCAAATTACTTGCATACACAGACTGGGGAAGTGTCACTTAGGTCTCCAACCTCAACTAAATAAAAGCCCAATTCAGCTTTGGAAACAAAAAGGAGTCTTGTTTCCTTCTTTGTTTTCAGGCCCCAGAGGTTAGACTTCAGTGAATTTTGGCAGATTTATTTAGAGAAACTTGAACAAAAGGATGGAAGAAATCGTGCTACTTGGACTTGTGTGTGGATATACCTTAACATCTACCTCCCAGACAGAGGACAAAGCTGAAAAATCTGGAAGAAAATCATAAATGTACTACTGAGAATTTTATTTGGGAATAAATCTAGTTTCCTACATAGATTCATGAGAAGCTCCCTATAAAATGCATTTTCTAAGTAAAATACTACAAAAATCTTCAAAATAGCTATTGCAAATAAACAAATGGAGAGCAATCAGACTAAGAAATATATACAAGAAGACAGATTGAAACCTCAAAGAAATCTACTCAGAGGATCGGGAAGAATTTATCCCATTCCATATATTTCAATGTTTTCTTAAAGCCTGAAAAACAAAATTGATGTTAGTACCATAAACTTTCCTGAACAAGGTCAATATTAGGCACTGTGGTAAATTTCTAAGTGGGATCTTAATTCTTTCAGATCTAAGTTCTTAGCCTGATCATGTAGCACAAGGCTAACTACATGGAAGGTGGTGGTCCTCTGTTCTCCAATGAAGGACTGAATGTCAACTATTGATCTAAAACCTGATGCTCTGTCCTTCCCCCCACTCATGC